ATGTGAAGGCATGGTGGTTGGAAGATGTGAACATGACTTAAGAATAAACTATGGTGGTATGCAGAGCTGGGCAGAAGTCAGGCCTCAGTCAGGAGTTTAGATTTTCCTGGAAGTGCAGAGGGAAGTCACAGACAGAATTTAAGCATGAATGTGATATGACCCCTTTGTGTTTTTAAAATATCACTAACAGGAGAAGACAAAAGCAGGCCCAAGAGGCCACTTTCAGACAAAGACAGCTGAAAGGCCTCCAGCAAGAAAGTAGGGGCCTGCTGTGGGATGCATCCAGCCTACCAGGCTTTATGGTAGATGGACAAGCTGGGGAGGGCTAGGTGATCTTCATTCAGAGAGATGGCAACTATCAAGGGAGGAGCAGAGAGTGGAGGGCAAGGAGGAAGTCTAAGTCTAGACTTTGGCATCAGGAACAGGGGACTTGGGGTGTCTGAGGGGTGTCTAACTCCACTGGACAGCTAGATACCTCAGGCTGAGTTGAGAGAAGTGGTATAGGTCAGAGATAGAGATTTTAGAGGTATGTGGACCCTTGGGAGGGAAGGTGGTAGGAAAGAGAGAATGAGGAGCAGCAGGAATTAGTGTTAAGATGGTAAGAAGGAAGCTGAGGGGAGAGTGAGCCAGCAGGAGTAAGGGACAGCTCTGCTCCCTGCCCTTGAGTGCTCACTGGATCCTGTGGCATGGGAGTCACCAGAGGTCTTGGTCAGTGACACTATGAAGTGGGAGTATATCCTATGGATGGAAAAAAGAGAATGTGAAGGGAGGAGAACAACAAGCAAAATGAGCACAGCTTTGGCTACCAAGGAAAATAAAGAAATGGGGCAATGGCCATAAGGGGGTAGGAAGCCAAGGAATTGTTTTGTTTTGTTGTGAAGATGGGAGATAATCCCATAGAAAAAGATTGGTGATCAGAAGAGAAAGGAATTATCTGTGGGAATCGGGTCTAGAGGGTTGGGATCCTGAGCAGGTTGGAGAATTTGTTTGGGGAACAGGAATGCCAGAGGGTTTCTAAGGCCCTGACAGGTGGTATGGGGTTCCAATGATGTGCTTCTGTCTGGTGCTTTGCTTTGTGAATGCTGAGGAAGGAGTGGACATTACTGAAAGCCTGTTAACAGGAAAACAAAAGAGACACAGCCAGTGTGGGGGGCTTTGTGCTGCAGTATTGAACGTCTTGAGGACACAGCAGTGGTGTGGGGTTGAAATGGAGGCTGAGAGATAAGGGGACAATCAGAGTGATGTACTATGATTTGCCACTGCACCAGGATGGGGGCTTCTGATGAGGCTGAAGGATTTAGCAGAGGTAGAAGAAGACACCTGGACAAGAAGGAAAGAGGAGGGGACAGAGGGGGAAACACAGGAAGATAAGCATTCAGTGATGGCATGGTTTCTGGTGATGACCATGTTTAGGGTGTGCCCCTGGAAGCCAGTGGCTGAGGGGGGAGGGAGGGGAAGATCTCAAAGGTGAGGGTGCTAGTGAGTCATCCATGTGGATGTTGAAGTCATGGAGAATTGTGTGAGTTGGGGTGGGGAAGAGGATGGTGAGCCTGGTGCTACGGTCAGTAGAGAATGAGGGGAAGTGATTTGGAGAGAAGCTGATGACAGATTTAGTGGAGAGAGGGTAGTGCCATCAAAAGCATGAGCCTCCAAGGGGTTGCCATAGGGAGGCCAAAGGAGTTCTCCATCTGGTACGGAGTGGAGAGCAGTAACCAGCCCTGGGGAACTGGTGTGCTCAGAAAGCCAGGTTTTACATGAAACAGGAGGGAACGGGATGGATGGTCCTATTTACCACAGTGATGTGGATGCATTCTTTGGTGGTACAAGTATATCCACCTGATAGGGAGAAATCTCCTATTGGTTCTCTTTCCCCCATCCATCCACCTATTCATCTTCTATTTACCTATTCATCCATCCATCCATCTATTCGTCTAAGGCTAATCATTTGCTTATCCTTTTTTCATTTATCATCCATCCAATCATCCTTACATCCATGCCCTGAATCTTTGTTGCACATCTCCTGTTTTAGGCTTAGGTAGATGAAAACCACAATTGAATCTAATTAGTGTTTTAACAACGGGAACCCCAAGGAGAGGAGGTGGAGTCCTGCCTGAATGATGATGACTACTCCACAGGGAAGGGACAAGTGAACTAAACCCTAAAGAGAGATCTGCAGGAGGAAAGGAAATGGGAATGCCCCAGGCTGGAGCAGGGATGAGCAAAGCAAAAGTTTCCAAATAGGGAAAATCTTATCATTTTGGGAGTGTGGTCAGAGGGCCTGTGCCCCTCAGTGGCTGAATGGAAGATAGAGTGGCCAGAAGGTGTCTGCTTATCTCTTGTATCTCAGAAGCAAAGGGCAGTCACAAAGGAAGCTTGGCTGACAATTGCCAGCTCTGTAGCTGGTAATTGCTCGGGGTGTGCACATATGTGTATTACAGAGGAGTCGCAGCCTCCCTGGGGCCCAGCATGGAACCCTAGACCTCACTGTGGCCATGTCCTTTCTTCAACATTGAGGGCACATGTGGGACTGGGGCAAATAGGCACTTCTTAGCTATTGAAACCCTTTTCATGTGCCCATATGCTGTCCTCAGGCTTGACCTCCAACTGGGTCCAGAGGACAGTTCTCTCACCTGCATAGGTTCAGACCCATACCTGTTGTCTGCTTCCTCTTTTGTAGTTCAGAGGTTGCCCAGACATTTGCCCAGCTGTCTGCCTGGCATGACCTTATTCATTTTTCACTGCCTGGAAAAAATCTGTCCTCTCCTTTGAAGCCCACTCCTGGGGATTCCTTCCTGGCCCCTCACTGCCCTGGGAAAAAGTCTTCTCTGGGGCTACCCTGCCTTGGTATGAACAGGCTCCCCTGTGGAGGTGCTCAGCAGGGAGCTGATAAGTAGTGCCCAGGCCCTGCTAACATGGATGGGAGAGCTGGACACCAACCCGGGGTGGAAGCTATAAAGCCCAGGGCTGTCTCCCACTTTGGGGTCCCAGAACAATGTGGGCCCTGGGGCCAGGGATGCTGAGTTCAGGAGAAGAAAAGACTTGGCAGCAGTCATAGCAGCTAGCCAAGCAAGGGGTTGCCTTATTAAGGCAGCATCCCAGTCTAGCTGGAGGGCCTCAGTTTCCCCATCTGCATAGTAGGTGCTTGATAAGGGCTTTCCAACTCTGACATATGGTGCAGTGGTGTCTAGAATGGTTTGGCTAGGTGGTAGAGGGATGGTGGAAGATAAATAATTGCAAATTGTGATCAGAAGGGAGAGGCTCATGGGCAGACTGGAGGCTGTGTTATCTTATCTGCATTATGCTTAAATGAAGACATGAGGTGTTACCACTTGAGTCAGATGGCTTGGGGTGTGGGTATATAAAACCATCTGTGAGGAGACCCCACCCTATTAGCTGCAAGGCAGGACCTTGGGGTGCCAGGAGCTGCCTGAAGCATAAAACAGTGGAGCAAACTACCACTCTGAGTGGGGCACCGGAGGCCCACGCCTGTAATCCTAGCTACTCAGGAGGCACAGGTCAGGAGGATCATGGTTCAAACCCAGACCAGGCAAATAGTTTGTGTGACCCTATTTCAGAAATACCCAACACACACACACGTGCACACACACACACACACACACACACACACACACACACACACAGGCTGGTGGAGTGGCTCAAGTGGTAGAGCACCTGCCTAGCAAGCAGGAGGCCTAAGTTCAAACCCCAGTACCACAAAAAAAAAAAAAAAAACTACCACTCTGAACCCTGAGGGCCTGTGGGACTGGAAAAGACTTGGGGCAAGAGAGTGAGCTATGCTCTGCACAGGAGGACGGGGACTTGAGGGCAAGGACAGGACACAGCCCTGGGCCTCCAGCCACACAGTCCTCCCTTCCTGTTGTCTCAGGATGGTCCTGGCAGGATGCATCTGCCAGAGTTCAGGTCCGACCTCCCCCAGGGTCTGCTCCCACCCCCACCGGGATCGCACCATCTCCTTGTGCATGTATGTGCACACAAGAGCATGGCAGATACACAAACATGCATGCTCGTGTGCATGTACAGAACACTCATACAAAGTGTTCTGTACAAGACACAGATTCATACCCAGGCATACAGACAGCATGGCAGAGATACACAAACATGCATGCTCATGTGCGTGTACAGAACACTCATACAAAGTGTTCTGTACAAGACACAGATTCATACCCAGGCATACAGACACTAAAAGACATACACACCTCTCAACACATGCACGCAAACACACACACACCATTCCATTGGGGAAAGGACAGTGGCACTAAGCTACTTAAACAGGAAGGCTGGGAATCCCATAAGGAAAAGGGGCTTGGTCATAACCTGTCTTAAAGGTGGGTGTTTAACCAGGTAAAGCAAGTTTATTTGTGAGTCTGAGAAGGGGCTCCTTGGGAAGGACTGAGAGTGTTGAGGGAAGGCCTGGGCAGGAAGAGCCTAGAGGCAGCTGGAGCAGCCAGGGAGAGCCTGTGCAGGTAGAGAGAAGCTGGTGGTGAGAAGCTGGTGGCACCAAGAAACAGCTATGAGTTGGACTCCCTGGGACCTGGGAGGGGGTGAAGTTATACAGTAGGCAGGGAGGCTGAGCCCTGGGTATGTCTGGGGAGGGTCTGGGATGTGCAGGACCCCCTCATAAGCAGTGGGTGTATGTCCGGAGTTTAGGAGAGAGAGAGCTACAGGCAGAGCCTCCCCCAGTGTAGGACAAGGTCTGTAATCTCTTCCTTCTTCACCTTGGCAGCTCAGTTCATTCAGTCAGAGGTCTGTGGCAGGGGGCGGGGCTCTGGTGGGAATAGATGGCCACGGCCAGGGCAGAGGTCAGCCTGCAGTTGTCTTGGGGCCTTACTACTCAGAGTGCACATGAGGAGACTAAGCTGTGCCAATTGAGAGCCACCAGCTGCCTCTGCCCTGGAGGGGGTCCTAGAGGACCCAAAAGTGCTGTATCAGTTGTCCTGTGAACTCACCACCCAGCACGATGTATCTGTCTCCCACCCCAGGCCTGGTGAGTGGCTACTCCATGACCCCCCCGACTCTGAACATCACAGAGGACGAATACGTCATTGACACCAGTGACAATCTATCCATCTCCTGCAGGTACTGGGTCCCTCCCCTATGGCAGTCAAATGAGGCTGCAGAAAGTCAAGGCGGGTGGTGATGGTTGAGGATCCAGAAAGCAGAAACTCCCCAGGGCAGAGAGACCTCAAAGCTGAGTGGGGTTCGCAGGATATGGGTGCCTGGAGGCCCTGCAGGTATAAGCACCTTGCACTCAGCTAGCTTCACCCATACCCTCCCCCAGATCACCTGCATCTAGTCCTAGCCACCCTTCACTGGACCCAAGCCCACCCACTCTGCTCCCAAGGCCAAAACAGCCCCAACTGTAATCCAAGGCCCACGTTTCTTTATAGCCCAGTCTTTCACACTCAGAGCCCTGGGAGCCAGGCAGACACTCCAGGGGGCTCAGGGAGTGCCCTGCCCTAGACTAATCTATGGTGTGCCCAAACCCTGGGTAGTCCTATCCTCACAGTGAGATAAGCAATGGACAAGGCTCTTGATTCTTGAGGGAGGCTTTTCAGAGATTGCCCCCTGAGCTACAGCTGAGATAGGGATCCCTCCTGACCTTTCCCACTCTCTATCAGGGGGCAGCACCCCCTCGAGTGGACCTGGCCAGGGGCTCAGGAAGCACCAGCCACCGGGGGAAAGGACGGTGAGGACACAGGTATTGTGCGAGACTGCGAGGGCACGGATACCAGGCCCTACTGCAAGGTGCTGGTGCTAGGTGAGGCCCACGCCAACAACACTGGCAGCTACCATTGCTACTACAAGTATATCAAGGCCCGCATCGAGGGAACCACAGCTGCCAGCACCTATGTTTTTGTGAGAGGTGAGGCCTCAGGACTGGTGAGGAAGGCTAGGCTTGGGCAGGGGCCTGGAGGGAGTGATTGGTGCCTATGTCCCACCTCCAGCTAACCCCAGGCTGGCAGGAGGGGAGAAGGAAACCTCACCCAGCTCCAGGCAGCAGTAGGCAGCTGGAACAGCACTGCTCAGCCCCATAGGGCTGCCCTACTGTCCCCCAATCCTGGTCAGAGATTCCTGAGTCCTCACCTTCCCCAACTCCTACTCCCTCTCCTCAGACTATGAGCAGCCGTTCATCAACAAACCGACACACTCCTGGTCAACAGGAAGGACTCCATGTGGGTGCCCTGCCTGGTGTCCATTCCTGGCCTCAACGTCACACTGCGCTCGGTACAATTCCCATACCCATCCCCACCCCAGGATCAGACCCTCCCCTGTGCAGTCCCTGGGAAAGATGGCTGCTGCTCTGGCCAGGAGGAAGAGGGTAGCCAGGCACTGACAGTCAATGTGTCATCTCTCCAGCAAAGCTCAGTGCTGCAGCCCGATGGGCAGGAGGTGGTGTGGGATGACCGCCGGGGCATGCGAGTGCCCACGCCTCTGCTGCGTGATGCCCTGTACCTACAGTGTGAGACCACCTGGGGTGACCACGACTTCCTGTCAAACCCTTTCGTTGTGCACATCACAGGTAGGGACATACACTGTTCCTCACCCAGTCACCGCTTCTTGTGTGCTGAGGTGGAACTCAGCAGATGCCCACACCCACCCCAACAATTCCCAGTAACAGGGCTGTTGATGTCACACTGGTCTTCGGGAACACCCTGTGCTCTGTGCACAGTGCATGTCCTTGTGTGCCTTGTGTGTAAAGGGTTGGGAGTCACTATGCATGTGTCACCAGGCAATGAGCTCTATGACATCCAGCTGTTCCCCAAGAAGTCCCTGGAGCTGCTGGTTGGAGAGAAGCTGGTCCTGAACTGCACAGTGTGGGCTGAGTTCAACTCGGGCGTCACCTTTGACTGGGACTATCCAGGGAAGCAGGTGAGATCGGCAGCCCTGCCAGATGCCTTCCTTCTGCCCATCACTGTCATGCCCCCAGTACTAGCCCCAGGATCTTCATCTACTTCCCATACCCACCTGTGCCTGGCACACACTGGGCCTTTGTGGGGAGGAGGTGCAGATCCAGCCAGCTCTAAGAACATCCAGTCTGATGGGGCAATTTTCCACACCAAAGAAACCTGTGGGACTAGGCTTCCAGAGCCACTGCTGGTGGAGCAGGGTGTGAGCCTTTGGGGGTCTGGCTCTGCCAGAGCCTGTCTGCTGATGCTGGGCTTCCCCTGGATGCGGGTAGGCAGAGCGGGGTAAGTGGGTACCTGAGCGGCGCTCCCAGCAGACTCACACAGAGCTCTCCAGCATCCTGACCATCTACAACGTCAGCCAGCATGACCTGGGTCCTTACGTGTGCGAGGCTAACAATGGAATCCAGCGATTCCGGGAGAGCACAGAGGTCATTGTGCACGGTACAGTCTGGGGTTTGGGATCTCATGCCCAGAATGACGTGGGGATGGTCTGGCATCATCCAGCCTGGAAAACAAGGGTCCCTGGTCAGCCCCAGGTTCACACTGATGCCTCCTGTCTGGCAGAAAAGCCCTTCATCAGCGTCGAGTGGCTCAAAGGATCCACCCTGGAGGCCACAGCAGGTGATGAGATGGTGAAACTGCCTGTGAAGCTGGCGGCATATCCCCCACCGGAGTTCCAATGGTAACAGCCTTGCCCCCACCCCACCCCGTGCTACCCTGCCAGGCCCAGCACAGGAATCAACCAAGGGGCAAGACAGGCCGTGTCCTTCCCCATTACAGCCTTAGCTCTGAGTCTCTTATGGGGACTTGTCCCTCCCTATCAGGGCCTGTGCCCTGAGACCCAGGTGGGACCCTCTTTCTGAAGAAATCCCCTTAAAGGGCATGCACATGATGCTATTTCAGCTAGAAGAAGGGTTAGCCCAGAATACTGCTAAACCATGAAAGGTTTAAATATCAGCCTTCTGGGATGTGTTGTGATGGGTACAGCATGGGACTTTTAACTACTTCCACACATACACACCCCCCATCTCTGAGGCCTGCCAGCTGGATTCCCTGTACACTGAGTAAACTCAGGGGCTACCCCACAGCAGTGGCTTCAGTTCCCTAAGCCTCTTTCCAACTAGGGTGCCTCTTCTAAGACCCTCTGATCTAGAAATTTGGAGATGCCATAGGGGTTTTAAAAATTGTTATGGCACCCAGCCCTAGCCTATATGGAAGTGAGTGAGAGAGCTTCCAGGAGACCTGCAGGAAAGGTGAGAGAGTGAGGCTTCCCCTGCAGGGTGTACCCAGAGCACTGAGGGTCACCTCAGTGGTGGCTCTATCCTGACTGGGTACTCCCTAAAGAGCTCAAGAGGGCATAATAACCCCTTCAATGCGCCCTTCTGAGCTAGCCATCTGATTCAACCATGACGGGTGCCACTGAAGGCTGTGCGCCGCCCCCATTATACATATGAGAAAACAGCCAGAAGAGGGAAAGGGCAGAGACCTAAGCCTCCTGAGGGGGGGCTCCAGCTCTCTCCTTTTCCATTTAGCCAGAGAAGCCTTGCCCTTCCCTGCCTGGGGTACCTGCCACCCAGTAGAAGAACTTTTTCTGGTGTCAGGAAACCAGAGGCCCAAGGTATCTTTGGTTAGAATCCCACTGTACTGGCTATAAGGTAGAAACAGGTTTCTCCTAAGAAATCCTGGGATGCCCTGGCTTTGGACCCTCATCTAAGGTCACCTGGCACAGTAGGGCAGAGTCCTGAAGGCACTAATGTAGCTGAGAGCCTTGCTTGGACTAGTGCAGACCCTAGAGACACCAAGGCCCTCCAAGGTCAGCAGGACTGAGCTTGCACTGGGTGAGTGGCCAGCTCCGCTGCATCTGAGGTCAAGCCTGGTCTTCAGGAAGTGTATAGCCTCTCAGGACAGCTTTTTCACAAAATGTTCCTACCACACCTGGCCCTTCTCATGCAACTTGGCCAACATCTGTATCCAAGAAGTGCTCGGCAGCTCCAGGGCAGTAGTGGTCACTGTTCAAGAGGGATGACTTTGAGTCAGTGGTGATGGAAGGCATAGTGGACAGACAGACAAGCTGGGTCTTCAGCTACTACAGTGCCCACAGTGTCAGGCTGACACTATCTCAGTGAGCCCTCTTGGCCACTACAAGTGCAGTCCTCCAGTTTTCAGAGGAGGTCACTGAGGCTTGGCGCAGTAAGGGGGTTGCCCGCCAAGTGGCAGACCAGGGATTCTAGCAGCTCTCAGCACTAGAGTCAGGCAGACACCATAGCCTCTTTGCTCAAGAGATGTGCCTTTCTTAGGCCACACTGCAGTGTCTTCTGTGGCTTAGCACACCCAGCACCCAGAGGGGAGCATCTGCCTATGAGGCCTGTCTCCTAGTTCTGCAATTCCTGCTTCTCAGGCAGCTTGCAGCCTCTTGGCACAGCTTTTCCATGGAAATGTTCCCACACACCTGGCCCTTCTTTCCCCATTTGGGAAGAGAAGCCACCCTGAGGCCTGCAAAGTGTCTATTTACTCACATGCAGCAAATATCTACAGAGCTACCACACATGCCCAGTGCAGTTCTGTGTATAGGGGGTATGGACAGTCCCTGTCCTCAGGAGGCTCTTAACTCAGTGGAAGGAGAGACAACCAACAGACACATATATCAAAACCAATGAGCTAGCTAGGGGTGTAACTCACTTGCCTAGCGTATGTGAGACCGTGGATTCACTCCCCAGCACCAACCAACAACCAAATAAACAAAAACAGTGGCCTGAATAACAGGAAGGCAGGGACAGGACAGACACCAGGTTTCTCTGATGAGCTGAATACCCCAATCTCAATAAAGGAGGGAGAGAGCCATGCAAATTACAGGCAAGAACATCCAAGCAAGAACAGCAGTAACACAAAGGCCCTGCCTGGGAAGGCTTTGTGTCTGCAGAGCTCAAGGAAGGACAGAGCTGCAGGTCAGACAGCCAGGCCCATGTACTCCAGGGAACTGCTCCTTCCTTCACTTCTTGGTGTGGACTGTGAGAAAGAAGACAAGGCCCACCAAGGACACTGTAGTTCATCCTTGATGCTCAGCTGGTGTGGAGGAGCCACCCGGGGGAGACTAGGAAGGTGGATAGGACCTTCTGAGTTGGGCCTGGTGAGCCAAGCTGAGCCTATGGGTAAGGCAGAGATAAGGTAGCTGTCCTGAGCAAGAACATGGTCTCCTCACTACTTGGAGAAAGATCTCAGAGGCTTTGGAGGAAAGGCCAGAGGTGCTATTGCAGGCCTTGGGGACATTCCTGAACCAGCCACATGATAGGCTGTGAAACATAGCAGATCAAGACCAGAAACTTTGGCTATCTGCAACTCAGACTAAGTACTGCTGCCCCACCCCACACTCCTGCTGGCTCTTTCTGGTATAGTTTAAGAGGGGCCACTTGGACTTCTTTTTCCACCTCTAACAGTATTTGTGGGCCCTCCATATCTGTGTGTTCTTCATCCTCAGATCCAACCAACCATGGACTGAAAAAATTTGTGTCTGTACCAAACATATACATACTTTGTTCTTATCATTCCCTAAACACATACATGACAGCATTTACATTTGTAAGACATTATAACTACTCTAGAGATGATTTCAAGTATAGAGAGGGATATCAATAGATTATGCAAATACAAAACAGTTTTATAGAAGGGACCTGAGCATCCAAGGATTTTGGTATCTGAAGGGAGTCCTACATCCATTCTGGCTGGGGGGAATGAAAGTGCCATCATGGGGCTGGCAGAGGGTCCTCACAGCCCTTGGACTCCCTTCTCCGGCCAGGTACAAGGACAGAAAGACAGTAACTGGACGCCACAGTCCACATGCTCTGGTGCTCAAAGAGGTGACTGAGGCCAGTGCGGGCATCTACACCCTCGCTCTGTGGAATTCTGCTGCTGGCCTGAGGCGTAACATCAGCCTGGAGCTGGTAGTGAATGGTACAGATGGGAAGGATGGGTAAGGGGACCAATGGGAAGGCCAGTATGAGATAGAGGTCAGTGACCAGCTGTCTGCCTGTACCCCTAGTTCCCCCGCACATCCATGAGAAGGAGGCCTCTTCCCCCAGCATCTACTCCCGTCACAGCCGCCAGGCCCTCACCTGTACAGCCTATGGGGTGCCCCAACCTCTCAGCACCCAGTGGCACTGGCGACCCTGGACACCCTGCAAGACATTTGCCCAGCGCAGCCTGTGAGTATGACTCCATCCCCATTCTCCTCTATTTTACAACCTCAGCGGTGGTAAACCCAGTTCCCAGCCTCTCTTGCTGCCCCTCCCAAGAGGCCTACTCTGAATTCTGACTATATCTTTGTTTTGTCACCTGTGTTTTTGAAGTCTTATGCAAAAAATCTTTGCCCAGACCAATGTCATGAAGCATTTTCTCTATGTCTTCTGCTAGTAGCATTATAGTTTCAGGTCTTACATGTAAACCTTTACTCTATTTTGAGTTGCGTTTTGTAACTGGTGAGAGATAGGGTCTAATTTCATTCTTCTGCATATAGATATTCACTTTTCTCACCAACACACATTGAACTGACTATTGTTTCCTCAAGGTGTGTTCTTGGCACCTTTGTCAAAAAATCAGTTGGCTATCAATATGCAGATTTATTTCTTGGCTCTTTATTTTGTTCCATTGGTCTATGTATTTATTTTTATGCCAGTACCATGGAGCTTTGGTTACTGTAGCTTTGTAGGGTATTTTGACTTCAGGTAGTATGAGACCGCCAGCTTTGTTCTCTTGGCTCAAGATTATTTTAACCATTAGGGGTCTTTTGTGGTTCCATATGAATTTTAAGATTGTTTTTCTATTTCTGTGAAAAATGTCATTGGTATTTTGATAGGGATTGCATTGAATCTCTAGTTTTCTTCAGGTAGTGTGGACATTTGGCAGTATTAATTTACCAGTTCAACCCTAGGTAATTCCTGGTCACATCTCGTCTGAGCAAAGATCAGATCCTCACTTATATGCCAGCAGGCAAAGCTGGATACTAAGCATGGGACTTGCCCCCACCTGCCTCCCCCAAGAGTGAAGCTCCCTGGAAATATAATTGCATCAAAAACCAAAGGTGTCATCTCTGAGCACCAACGTAGCCCCCTCCCACCAAGTGGGCAGATCTAGGATAGTGTCATAAAAATTTGCTGAGCCCCGGGGCACACCAAGCATGCTCACACACCTTAGCTCATCTGTGCAGCTCACAATGATCTCCTTATACATGAAGAAACAGGATCAGAGAAGGGAGGCAACTTTTGCAAGGTCACAGCTGTAAGCAACAGAGCCTGCCCAAGTGCTCAGCCATATTCTCCTACTCCAAGCTGAACATCAATAAAACAGGTGGGCTGGAGAAAGCAGTCATGGCAGAGACAACTTAGACATGCAGGGGATAAGAGAGGGGGGTGCCAGTCTCAAAGGCACTAGGGAGCCAGTGAAGGACATTGAGGTCAGATTTGCCATTTAGCAAAATATATATGTCTAGGGAAGGACAGAAGCCAGGAACCCAGAAACCCAGGCAGGAGACGAGGGCAGCCCCACTAGACAGCACAGTCAGTGGGGGAGGCTGAGGAGGAATCGCCTGTGGGTGTGAGCCAGCCTGAAATATTCAGAGCTTAATAAAGGATTTTTCTAAACCATGTGGCCTATAGCTCATACTGGCACCTCCAAACTGCTTCCTTCTGATATTCCATCATTACGTTCTGTGTCAATCAAGCTACTCCCCTGCTAGGGACAGAAAAGAACCTCTCTTGCCCTGCCCCCATCCCAGCAGGACACCAAAGGTGCTGGAGATGCATACTCAGCCCAGGGCGGGGATGGGGGTAGAGGTGGGGAGAAGTAGGTGGAGTGGGCTTCCTAGGGCAGAATAGTGACTTGTGGTGCCCCTTGAAGCTGGGTGGGCAGATTCAAGATGGACTTCTCAGGAAGGGTCAAACAGAAGTTGAATGTAGTATTGCAAATGTGCAGGAAGGATTCCAGGGCCCTGGGAAATGTTCCAGAGCCCCCCGACACACACACACACACACACACACACACACACACACACACACACTGCTCTGCTTACTTCGGGAAATGTTCCAGAAGCAAAGCACCGCCCCCCTCCCCGGCCCCCCGACACACACACACACACACACACACACACACACCACACACACACTGCTCTGCTTACTTCGGGAAATGTTCCAGAAGCAAAGCACCGCCCCCCTCCCCGGCCCCCCGACACACACACACACACACACACACACACACACACACACACACACTGCTCTGCTTACTTCGGCCTGAGAGCTAGCCTCACTCATCATGATGTGAAAAGGTAACTCTGAGAATGAAAAGGTTTGATGTCCACCCCTAGCCTGAGCCTTGCCAGCCCACATCCCTGATTTGTCATTGTATCCCTCCTGGTCTATGGCAGACGGAGGCGGCAGCAGCGGGATCGCATGCCACAGTGCCGGGACTGGAGGGAAGTGACCATGCAGGATGCTGTGAACCCCATCGAAAGCCTGGACACCTGGACCGAGTTTGTGGAGGGGAAGAATAAGGCACGGGCCAGTTATGGCACTACTAAGAAAGAGGGAGGTTGGGAGGGCTCTCTTCTGTGCCTTTTCTGCACTGAGAAGAGCAGTCAAGAGCCAAGTGATCTTTCTGTCGTCACTGGGCCTCAGCTTCCCTGTTGGCACATCAGTAGGGGCCAGACCTCTTGCTGCTTCCCAGACAAGGAAGCTGAGAACCAAGATCTCCTGGATAGGCCACTGGCCCCAGCAATCCACAAGTCCCAGGGCCAGAGGGGATGGGGCTGGGGGCTGACTAGGTCTTCACAGAAGGCTACTGAGCCACTGGGCCAGCCTGGGGGCAATGCTGAGAAGAGGCCAGGAGGGGGAGGGGGACTGAACAAAGGCACCCACTTCCTACAGTCACTTCCTGTTTTCCTACACACCTCCAGAGCCTCTTCCTGTTCCAGGCCTGGCCAGGAAGTGCCCGGCTTGGGGTGGGGGTGGGGGTCTTTGGATGGTAGGCAGGGCCTATGGCTCTCTCTCCTCCCCTGCTTCTCATACTCCTTGCTCCCCAGAGGCCAGAATTTTTCTGGAAGCCTGGGAAACCTGTCCTCCCCTTGAGACTACCCTAAACACTGGGAGAGGTGCTAATGTGAGCACATCACAAAGATCTCCCATAGTGTCCAGTTACTGACCTTAGGCCACAACCTGACCCTAGTTTGGGAGTGGGTGGCTCCTTGATCTGACTACAGCCTAAATTTTAACTATGCCAAGGACTGACCCAGTGGCCAAGCTGGCTCCTGACCCCTTCAGCATGGACACAGTGTGAGCCCAGTCTCAGGCAGAGGTTTCTCTGTACCCGCCAAAGTCTACCATCTGACCTTGACCACAGCCTAAGTCAATTGCCCATACACTGCCCCTTGACATTTCTGGGAGCCACCTCTTTCTGCTGCCTGCTGGCCTTGCTTTCTCTTCCCTGCCTCATCATTCCTAATCCTGTCTCTGGACTTTGGTCATCGCCAGCCCAAAGCTTCAGTTTCACTGGTGGGCATAGTGACCACCTTGCAGAAGGGGAGGGTCCAGGACAGAGGAACTCAAGTGGAAAATGGATGCTTATGTCTATGCTCTGCCCAGACGGTGAGCAAGCTGGTGATCCAGGATGCCAACATGTCCGCCATGTACAAGTGTGTGGTCTTCAACAAGGTGGGCCAGGATGAGCGGCTTATCTACTTCTATGTGACCAGTGAGTGACCAGACTGTCCCCCAGGGAGGGCCACTTCCCCTAGGCAGGCCTGGGTGCAGTTTTGGGAGTCAGGTTTGGGTTCATTGAGTTTCTGGTGACCATGAAGAGAGATGTTCAGGGTCCTTGAGGCCCCTGGGACTGGATGGAGGGATAAATTTATATGGCCTGGGTGCTGGTGCACGAAGATAGAATGGCACACTCTGTCCTCTGCCATGGAGGCACCTCCCTCAGGGGTGCCCCTCCCTCAGGAGTGCCCTTCAGTTCTCTGTAGCTCCATCTACCTCCACCTCTCTTCCAGCTCTTCTCAGCCCTGGAGTCCTGTGGTTCATGTGTACATTTTGTCCTGTAGAGAAGGCCCATAGTCCACTCACATTTTCAACTGTGTTGTTGAACTCCAGAAAGCTGAGTCCCAGGAGTGGGCCCAGGGGTGTAGATGAGGGCAATTCCTGGGAACACGTGGGGACAGAGAGAAGCCCATAGATCCTGACAAGAGACAAGAAATCAAGAGTGTGGCACTGGTAAAAGCTAATGGAAAAAAAAAAACATTTTAAGGAGAGAACAGTGCTAAGGTGTGGTCAGTAGCAAGAGAGAATGAGGACTGAGGTCCCCACTGAGTCTGGAGATAAGTAACTTGATAATATGGGCTTCTGGGAGAGGTGAGGGTAGCAACCTAGTTAGGACTTGTCAGAGGTAGAGAAATAAGAGCCGACCCTGTAGGGGTGAGGCTATCTTCAAGCAGCTGGCTCCACTGGTCAGTGAGGAGGAGAAAGGAGAGTAAATGTATGAAACCCTGGATACACATGATGCATACCCTTGGCATCATGAGAACTGAGTTCAAAGGCCAATGGGGAAGGGGGAGCCGGCACTGTCAGGTGGATAGGCAAGCAAACATCGTGACTGTGTCACAGGGTTCCTCTCCCCTCCCCAGCCATCCCGGATGGCTTCAGTATTGAATCGGAGCCCTCAGAGGAACCTTTGGAGGGCCAGTCCGTGCGCCTCAGCTGCCGAGCAGATAACTACACATACGAGCATCTGCGTTGGTACCGCCTCAACTTGTCCACACTGCACGATGCGCACGGGAACCCGCTACTGCTGGACTGTAAGAACGTGCACCTATTCGCTACGCCGCTGGACGCCAGCCTAGAGGAGGCGGCTCCTGGGGCGCGCCATGCCACACTCAGCCTGAACATTCCCCGAGTGGCGCCCGAGGATGAGGGCGACTACGTGTGCGAGGTGCAGGACCGGCGCAGTCAGGACAAGCACTGTCACAAGAAGTACCTATCAGTGCAGGGTGAGGCTGGCCGGCCCTGGGGGTGGGCGAGGCCATGCTTTTCATCTAGCCTCGGCAGCTTCCGCCTTTGCATCCAGCCCAGCACCGCCTGGGTAGTCCATTCACAAGTCTGGGCGGACAGTAGTGTCCCCTTGTGCAACCCCATCGTGGAGGTGCACAGTCCTCCCTTGCATAATTTCTCCTTTAGTGTCCTGGAACCCATCTCAACTTTGCACCCCTCCCACCCTCTCTTCTGCAATTCCACTTAGCTCTCTCTCCATTCCCGTCCCAGCCCTTGAAGCTCCTCGGCTCACACAGAACTTGACCGATCTCCTGGTGAACGTGAGCGACTCCCTGGAAATGCGGTGTCCGGTGGCCGGAACGCATGTGCCCAGCATTGTGTGGTACAAAGACGAAAGACTGCTGGAGGAAGAATCTGGTAGGGAGGGTAGCTCCGGCCAACGGGCAGGATTCGGAGGCCTACAAGGCCAACGCCCCCCAGCCTCACCAGGGCTGGAACCTCCAACTTGCCCACTGCAGGAATCGACCTGGCAGACTCAAACCAGAAGCTGAGCATCCAGCGGGTGCGCGAGGAGGACGCCGGCCGCTATCTGTGCAGCGTGTGCAATGCCAAGGGCTGCGTCAACTCTTCTGCCAGCGTGGCGGTGGAAGGTCTGGCTGACCGTCTCCTGCCCCAGACGCCTCTAGATTCACCTCTTGCCCCTAACTGGCGCCTTCTTGTGGCCACCTCAAGGAAGACGTGCCCACTAGAAGTGGCGCTTCCCACAGGGTGCATCCTCTCCTCCCTCACGTGCACCCACTTTCCACCCACTCAGGATCTGAGGATAAAAGCAGCATGGAGATAGTGATTCTCGTCGGCACCGGGGTCATCGCTGTCTTCTTCTGGGTCCTCCTTCTCCTCATCTTCTGTAACATGAGGAGGGTAAGGTGCCTCCCCTTGCTGAGCCTCTCCTGGGCTCCTAATGGGGTCTCTGTTGTGCCTTTTCCCATCCCGATCCTACCCTCCATAGCCCTTAGGACAAAGAATAAGGTTCCCATCCTGGCAGCCTCCTCTTCTGAGAAGCCTCCCATACTTCCATGCTGAGATCCATTAGGGGTAGAGTCTGTCTGTAGATTTGTCCCTTCCTTGACTGAAAGCCCTAAAGCAAGTGCCATTTATCGAGGGCAAAGTTTTACTCAAGCCACAGTGGTATGGACAAATCAATGAGCTGTCCCCATCCCTACCCCCCAGCCGGCACATGCAGACATCAAGACAGGCTACCTGTCCATCATCATGGACCCCGGGGAGGTGCCTCTGGAGGAGCAGTGTGAATACCTGTCCTATGATGCCAGCCAGTGGGAGTTCCCCCGGGAGAGGCTGCACCTTGGTGAGGCCAAAACCCAGCCTACTCCACCCACCATACACTGCCTGGCAGAGGCAGCTTCAGCTGCTGCAGGATTGGGCAGAATGGAGTGCCGGAAATCCCTCCATTCTCAGAACTCATGCCAGCAAGACCTGCCTGGTCTCCACCTGCCCTGACCTATTCCATCTGGGCCTGCATCCCCAGAACCATAGCCAGGGCTCCCAATTCCCAGGCCCCCAAGGTCATTTCCTGCTGCTGTGAGCAGAATGGACATATCACACCTGCCTGGAGAGGATGCTGAGGCCTTCCTGTCGCCTCTCCTCTCCCTCTCTCCTGCTCCTGGTGTTCTTCCTGTTTGGCAAAAGAGGTTCCCTGTGTTCCTCCTGCTCCTGGCCCTTCCTTCCTGGCCCTTGGGACAGGTCGCCCTGCTGCCCACCCATCTCCACCCTTACTCCCATATAGCTTACCTGAAACTGGTTCCCTGCCTCCACAGGGAGAGTCCTTGGCCATGGAGCTTTCGGGAAGGTGGTGGAAGCCTCAGCTTTTGGCATCAACAAAGGCAGCAGCTGTGATACTGTGGCTGTGAAAATGCTGAAAGGTGTGGGATCAGCGGGTAGAAGGGGCTGCAGAGGTGGATGAGGAGCAGCAGCTCTGGGTGGAACTGTAGTGCAGGAAGGAAACCCGAGGTTCAGAACCCGAATCTTACCCAAGATGCGGCAGAAAGGTGGTGGGAATCAGAGCTAGGCTTCCACCTGAAGCCTGTGTCTCTGTAAGGCGAGCAGAATGTGCTGGGGACCCTGCGCCGCCCATCTTCTCTTGTCCTTCCCTCCCCTTCATCCAAAAGCACCGCTGACTGTGCCTTAACTAAGCCAGTATTGGGGGAGGAGGAGCTGGAGCCTGCCGGTATTAGGAAAGAGGCCAGGCAGGTCCCGCACCATGCTAAGGCCCCTGTGTCCGCTCCAGAGGGCGCCACAGCCAGCGAGCACCGCGCTCTGATGTCAGAGCTCAAGATCCTAATCCACATTGGTAACCATCTCAACGTGGTCAACCTCCTGGGGGCGTGCACCAAGCCCAACGGTAGGGAACTGGACTGTCCTGGGGATAGGATCAAGCAGGAGGGGGGGCACATTCTTGCTACTGATGGGAGGAGCCTGCCGGGTTTGGAACAGGTCAGATTGAAGCCAGGCGGGGCGCTGCCGGGAGAAGGCTGGCATATGGGGGGCATTGCTGCGCAATAGCCCTCCAACGGTGCCCTCTGTCGCCGCGTGCGTGGCTCCTGCTGTGCGCTACCCCAGGCCCCCTCATGGTGATCGTGGAGTTCTGCAAATACGGCAATCTCTCCAACTTCTTGCGCGCCAAGCGAGAGACCTTCAGTCCTTATGCGGTAAGTGGGCACCCCAGTCAGCTGTAGGATCTCCGCTGGAGAGCAGATGGACTCCATGGTGGGGTGGGGGTGGTAGTGGGAGGAGCCTGTGTTTGGGAGGCGGGCTCCGCCCCAGACCCACTTTGCGCATCCGCAGGAGAAGTCTCCAGAGCAGCGTAGGCGTTTCCACGCAATGGTGGAGGGAGCCAAGGCTGATCGAAGGAGGCCTGGGAGCAGCGACAGGGCTCTACTCACAAGGCTCCTGATGGGCAAGGGAGGGGCGGGGCGGGCTCCTCCTGTCCAAGAAGGTAAGAGCCTGACTTTCCCTTGCCCAGACACCCTGGGATAACCCAGCCTGGGGGCGTCTGTGGAGGTGACGCCATAGGCTATACTTCAAGAAGGGAAGACACCTCACTAGTAGTTTTCACAAAGATCTTTCACATTTGACTTGAATATCACAGGATGAATAATAAGAGTTTTGAAGACGGGTTGTGGAAGTAGTCCAGTACCAAGTAGTGAATGCAAAGGTCCTGTAACACAATAGTGTTTTTTGTTCTTGGAGTAATATGCAGGTGTTCCAGACTGTGGTTGTAACAGGCAAGAGAGGGGTCTGACATGCTTGTTAGCTAGTGCCTGGGATTAACAAATGTTCCTTTTTGGAGCAAAGGGGAAGGTGGAAGTCACAGAAGAGGCTCCTCCTGAGCCCATCTTCCTCCTTTGTACAGTGGAGGATCTGTGGTTGAGCCCACTGACCATGGAAGACCTTGTCTGCTACAGCTTCCAGGTGGCCAGGGGAATGGAGTTCCTGGCCTCCCGAAAGGTAGATCCCCACCCCTGTTAGATTCTTCACGGGGAGAAGGGTGCAAACTCACCAGCAAGCATAGGTGTGCTTGGTTCTGATTTCACCTCACGGAAGCCCTTTGGTTGATAGTGTCTTTCCCATTTTACAGAGGAGTAAACTGAACCTAAAGTGAGGAATTCCCTTCCCAAGCTCTCCTGGTTAGTCATTGGCAGAGCTGTACATAGAATCAGAATCTGGTTGTCCCCAGTTTCACGCACCCTCTCCATCATAAGTCCTCAGGATTCATGGAAGTCTTTCCTCAAAAGAGCAGGACTCAGGCAGGGCATCCCCTGGGGCATCCTGGAGCTCCAGGCCTGGGTGTCACCTTGAGGATCTGAGCTGATTACTCCCACCACTCCCTCCCTGCACTCTTAGTGCATCCACAGAGACCTGGCTGCTCGGAATATCTTACTGTCAGAAAGCGACGTGGTGAAGATCTGTGACTTTGGCCTTGCCCGGGATATCTACAAAGACCCTGACTACGTCCGCAAGGGCAGCGTGAGTGCAGGCCACCAGGAGGAGGGGAGACAGGGTACTAAGTAAATGGGGGTGGGGGTAAGACCACAGACTTCCTGTCCAGGAGCAGGAGAGGTGGTGACATAGACTCCATGGTCTGCCAGGTCACCGTCTCAGTTGCTGGGGGAATTCGCTGCCCCCCAGGAGTCCACCAAAGTCTCAGAGATCCTAGAGACTCTACCCACTGAGAAAACCTGAGTCAGATTAGAGACAGGAGATGACAATTAGGGTCCATAGTGCCCCAGATGGAGCTTGTGTTTTGCACAGTGCCTTGATCTATTTGGTAATCACCAAATCCCTGTGCTTGCTCTGTGGGGGCTGAGTGTGCAGAGGCATCCAGAGATGTCTGTCTGGAGGTGGGCAGGCCTGGTGCAGAAGCCATCACAGAAAAGTCCATCTGAGCTTGAAGGCAGTGTGGTTCCAATTGGCAGAGCTCAGAAGCAGGTGCCTGAATGAGTATGCACAACTGATTAGGGGTTACCACCAAGGAGAGGAAGGAAAACGGTTAGAGGGAGGAAGTGAGCAGAATGAGTCCAGGGTGTGCTGTGAGGACCGCCCTGCCTAGCATGAGCAGCCATAGGAGGTTTTTGCCCTTTATTCTAACTCAGAGGTTTGTGGAGGCAGGTGGAAGTGGGGATTAGGTATTCATTTACAGAAGCTTCTCTCTGTAAACTGTGAGGACAGCAGATTGATGGGGCTGGGCTGGAGGCAGAGGCCAGTCTGAAGGGCAGTGGTGTTCAGGACTCCCAGGTAAAGGCCATGAAAGGGAGAGGGACATACATCAGGAGCCCCAAGAGTCGGAAGTGACCACCCCGCATCTAGTGTAGGGATACAGTGAATGCATGGAGCATGTATATCTGGGGATGGTGAAGGTGTTAAAGGATGCATTACTTCAAAAGGCTGGGCCAAGGATCTGGAATTGTAGGAGGGGGTGCAAGAACCCCTGACAAGTAACCAACAAACTGAAGAGGATCCCAAGTTTAAGACTACCCTGAGCTGTACTTAAAAAAAAAAAAAGAGAGAGCCTTCCTCCCCCCAAGAAACCTAAGAAGATGAGAGGGGCCTCAGGACCCACAGAGCAGAACAGGGAAGATGCCTTCAATTTAGGCATAAGGAACCTGATGGGGGGGCTATTCCAGTGTCTGGCCTAAGGCCTCTCCCCTTTCCCCATGGGACACATTTCCCTCTGCCTCACGCCCCCCAGGCCCGGCTGCCCCTGAAGTGGATGGCCCCTGAGAGCATCTTTGACAAGGTGTACACCACACAAAGCGATGTGTGGTCCTTTGGGGTGCTGCTCTGGGAGATCTTCTCCCTGGGTGAGTGAAAGGCAGGTGCCCTGCCAGGGGAGGGGAGGGGCTCACATGGCTCCAGGGACTGGGATCCTAGAGGTGTGCACAAGAACACCCAGCCCAGGTCATACTGGTGCAGGTGGTTTCTCATGGGCCTCCACCTAGCCTGGCCCAACTTCCCAGAGGACTTAGCCTCCAACACAGGCCAACTGGCACCATCTTGACCCTGTGTCAGGAGAAAGCCTTGGTTGACTTGACAGTTCCATGGAAGTCCCAGAGGGAGCCCACTGCTATTCCGCAAATGCACCAACTTATGCAAGTCCCACGTGGGAACATGACAAAATCCCCATGAAGGGTGGACAATGAACAAAATGTAAAGTGTCACTAAGTGGTAATGATGATGACGCTGTTGCTGAAAATTAAAGAGCAGAAAGAGTTTAGGACGGTTGGGGGCTGCTGTGTGAGCCAGAGGGCTGGGAAGGATCCAGGCTGCATGAAGGGGGTTGGGAGAGTGGGATGTAGCTCAGCGGGAGAGCGTATGCTTAGCATGCTCTCATCCCATAAATAAGTAAATGCATATGAATAAATAAATGGACTGGGTAAAGGTAAGTGGCCTGAAATTCCCCTCAGACCCTGTGGGTCCCCATACCTGACCTCACTAACACATGTTGAACGCCTGGATGCCCACGGCACCCCTGACAAGTGAATGGCCTCATCCCCTATTAACCAAATGAAGAACTAGAGCTGGGGGAGGGGAGCAACTTGCCCAGCTCCAGCAGGGTGAGTCCTCATCTTCACACTGCCACAGGGGTAAGAGGAAGAGAGGAGGGGACAGGACAGGGGCAACTGGGAGGCTGGGCTGAGCAATGAACAGCCTGCTCCCCACCCACTCCCATCCCCCATCCCCTTCTTGCCGGTAGGAGCATCCCCATACCCTGGGGTGCAGATCAATGAGGAGTTCTGCCAACGGCTGAAAGAAGGTACCCGGATGAGGGCCCCAGAGCTGGCCACTCCTGCCATGTGAGTATCCCAGCTGGTCATGCAGGTGGGGATGAGCACAGGGAGAGAGGTGTACAGTCACAGGTAGCAGGGAAGGTTGTGGGAAGGCATGGGACAGGACGCATGCAGGTAGAAAAAGGGGTGCACAGGCATGGAAGAGGGCCTGGGGACAGGTACAGGCAGAGGAGTATGCAGCCATGGGGGGAGTCATGGGAAGGGTGACATGTAGGAACAGGGGGACAGGAAATGGTATTCAGGCACAGGAGAGAGAGTGCGAAGACAGGAGAGGGGACAGGTTACACCTGGATGGGCACAGGGCCCACAATAGACACAGTCTTACACTACCACTGACTCGTCCACTCATCCAATGGCAACTCCCCTCCTCCCCTACTGTGTGCTGTCCCCAGATAGTCCAGAGCCAATAAAGCAAGCCTACCCCCTGCCCCGTGCACACACACAGATAGTCGCATAGCTGTGATGGGCATGAGAAGGGGAGGCATGGGTGCTCTGAGAACACTTGACAGGAGCCAGACAGAATCAGGGTGATCCCAAAGATGGTTCAGTGAGGTGACACTTGAAGAAGGAGTGTAGAAACAACTGGTAATGGTGGAGAAGGGTGTCCCAGGCAGAAGAAACAGCAAATGCCTAGTCAAAAATTAGGGCAGTAGAGGTACAAGGGATGGTCTTAGTTTGCTTTATGTTCCTATAACAAAATACTTGACACTGGGTACTTTATAAGGAAAAGAGGTTTATTCAGGTCAGGCTCTTGGAAGTTTAAGAACTGGACCAGCATTTATTCAGCTCTGGGAAGGGCTTCTGGCTCCCTCACAATATGGAGGATGGTATCATGGTGGGAAATGTGAGAGAGAGATCACATTGCAAGACAAGAAGCAAGAGACTAGAGAGGGGCTGGGCTTTCTGTATAACAACCTGCTCTCTGGAGAACTAATTTATTCTTGTGATACCTAACCATTCCACAAGACCAGCATTAATCTATTCATGAGGATGGAGCCCTCATGATCTAATCACCTTGCATTGGGCCCCACCTCTTAAAGGTTCTGCCACCTCACCACCATCACATTAAGGACCAAGCTTCTAGCACATGAACCTTTGGAAGCCACATTCAAACCATTGCAGGGACCCAGGGGAGGTGGGAGGGCTGTGGTTAGCCAGCAGAAGGGTCAGAGTGCCTCACACCACAGGTCAACAGCCAGTTTTACTCTGCAGACGCCATATCATGCTGAATTGTTGGTCTGGAGACCCCAAAGCGAGACCTGCTTTCTCGGAGTTGGTAGAGATCCTGGGTGACCTGCTGCAGGGCGGGAGCCTGCAGGTGAGCCCCATCTCTGCCCTATTCTGCTACAACCTCTGGCTGTGTCCTGGGTCTTTGCCCTGACTGCCCCTGCAAGCCTCTCTAAGCTCTGCTCACCTCTCAGTCACCAGGCAAAGGTCATGCATGTCAGGTCCCAGACCCCTGAGCCTGCCCTCCAGTGCCCACTGCCCACAACTCCTTCTCCACACCCAACCACTCCAAGTGGAGACACGCACATCTTTCTTTTGGGCATGGAACATTGGTGCTTGCTCCATCTGCTTTGCAGAGATCATCCTTGCTCACAGGAATTCCCCAGCTAGTCCTCCCTGGGCTTGCAAGACTGTTCTGTCTTCCTGGAAGACTGGATTTGTGCATCCTGCATCTCTCCTTCCCCAGTGGTGTTCCTTGAGGGTGGGAAACCAGAGCAGCTCAGAGCTGATACTTCATGATTTAGGACCTGGATTGAGGATACTCAGCTGAGGCTGGTCTGCCTCTTCTGCACATGGGAACCTGGCAGGGCTGTTAGCAGAGCTGAACAAGGTTGTCCTGGCATGCCTTCAGCAACCGGTCTTCCATACCATACTGAAGTGTGCTAGGTCCTGCATGAACTTATTTGATCCTCAAAGCACCTTTCTCTCTCTCTCTCTCTCTCTCTCTCTCTCTCCCTCACACACACACACACACACACACACACACAGCCTGTTCTGACCCCATTTCAGACATCAGGACACCAAGCAATCATGAGTGCAGGAGTAGGGCTGAGGAACAGTACATGTTCCTGACCCTACCCACCTCTTCTCTTCCTGCCAGGAGGAGGAGGATTGCATGGCCCTGCATGGCTCTCAGAGCTCAGAAGAAGGCAGCTTCTTGCAAACATCCACCACAGCTCTGCACATCGCTGAGGCTGACACTGAGGGCAGCCCACCAAGTGTGCATCACCACAGCCTGGCTGCCAGGTCAGTCACCCTCCTCAAGTCAGGGAATGGGGGTAGTGGGAGAGAAGTTTGGAAGCAGTGTTTTAATCTTCATGAGTCATTGAGAAAAGGCAGCTTATAGTGACTTGAGAGATGCTGAATTGCAGACAGCACTGGGATCACTGGTGTTCTTGTGAACCTAGTCATCTATGGGCACCTTGAAGGCATGTGACCTGTGCTTCTCCCTTGCTATAACAAGGTACTTGAGGTGGGTACTTTATGAAGTAAAGAGGTTACTTTAGCTCACAGTTATGGAGGTTCAAGAGCATTTTCTGGAATCTGCTCAGCTGTTGGGAGAGTCTCATGGCTGATGACATCATGATAGCAGAAGCAAATAAAGAAGAGAGTGTATGGAGACACTGGAAGCCAGAGGGCTTCATGGACCAAGGTGGCTATTTTTATAATCATTCACTACCTGAGAACTAACTGGGATCCCAAGAGAACCACATTAACCCTTTTTGAGGGTGTTACCCTACCTTATACTAGGCCTCACCTCTTTAAATTTCCACCATCTCTGTACCACCACACTGAGGATCAACCTTTGAGGACATGAACCTTTGGGGGACACACTGAAGCCATACCCAAATCATAGCAACTGGCCTTCCCTGTAGTCCTGTCCCCCGAGGGCCCCTTCACCCCAATTTCAGGGGACTACCCACCTTAGGTACATTTTTTTGCAGAAAGACAAAGTGGAGTGGGGTGGGTTTGAGCCAAGACTCATCCCAGTATATAATCACTGATTTATCTCCAGGGCAAGTCCAAGGGCCACCAGTCCCTGGGATCAGGAAAGGTCACTTACTGCCCATATTCAGCCATAAGACTTAACCTAAGTTCCCAGAGTCCTGGATCCTGGGACTCTCACCCTTAGCGGTTTATAGCTCTGGGACATTGAGTTATCCACATTCCCACCAGTGTGGCTGAGACTTGGGCTCTAAGAGCCCTGCCCACAAAGAGTCCTCCTCCAGCATAAAGAAGGGCCAGGCCAGGCCTGGTGACAAGAACAGTGAACTGGTTCTTTCGAGACTACTTCTACTAACTGCCCACCAACACACACACACATAAAGCAAGTCCGTGGCTTGCAGCAGCAAGATCACCTGCCTTGCCACAGTGGCCCATCTGGGGGAAAAAAGTCACACCCAACACTCACCAGCTCCACGTCACACCTGGGATAGAGGCACTCCCCTCCCCTTCTGCTGCAGAGCCCTCACGGTGGACTCAGAGGTTTTATCACTCCTGTACTGGAGAGGAAATGCAGCTCAGGGGAGGAGAGAGGAGGGAGACCCAGGAACCCGGACTGGGGCTATGTGGTGGACATCTGAGGCAGGACCCAGGGATGAGTCAGACTCAGGCTTCATCCATATTCTGCCCCAGACTGGAGGTCCTTCTCTGGAAGAAGGGGACTGGAGAGATGGGGGCAGCTTTCAGGAAGGTGACCGGGGTATGCTTCTCAGTGCTTTCTGTGTGCTTCCCACAGATATTACAACTGTGTGTCCTTTCCCGGGTGCCTGGCCAGAGGAACTCAGACAGAGGGTCCTCCAGGATGAAGACATTTGAAGAATTCCCCATGACCCCTACGACCTACAAAGCCTCTGTGGTAAGGGAAAAGAGGGTGCCATGCATCTTAGAGCAGGACCAGGGTAACCTCAGGGGAAGGTAAACATCAGGGATTCCTGAGCCAAGTGACAAAAATCAACTAGGACATCTAAAATAGTTTATTTTTGGTTAACATGTATAGATTGTAGATATAATTGGGTTCAGGGTGATATTTCAACCCATGTGTGCAGTATACATTAAAAAAAAAAACTACCCTCCCCTTATCCACTTTCCCTCCCTTTTCCTTACCTCTGTATTAATCAGTATTCTACTTTCAGATCATAGTTTTCACAAACGAGAAAAAACATGATTCTTGTCTTTCTGTGTCCAGCTTATTTCACTTAACACAATGTCCTCTGATGACAGGATTTCATTCTCCCCTCCCTGAGAACCCCAAGCCTTATCTCTCCCAGCAACATGGAAACCCCAGTGGAAACACAACTCATGTTCCAGATAGTTCCTGATGGATCAGCCTGAGTCATGGACCCTCCTTGGGTAGTGGATGCCACTAACCCAGAAAAAGGAGGACAGTGTCAATAGAAGAGGATTATGGGATATGGGGAGCAGGAAAAATTGCAGGTAGTTCACTCAGGTGTTGACACCTGTGTCCTCAGATCAGGTCAAGCAGTCAAGGTCAGGAAGTTCTGTGAGGCTGGACAAGTGTGTCTATTGTAAAAGAGGAGAGTGAACAGTCCAGGCCTGAGCTGTGGTGGCACACAGCCAGGAGTCATGCCAGGATTTCCAGTCCTAGTCCCATGCAGATAGGACCAGTGGAAGGTGAGTGGAGTCCTTGACCAGACCACATAGACTTAGGCTTGTGTCTCTAGGGCCAAAGACCTTGAAGTCAAAGACCAAGCTCTGAAAAGACTGATGTTCCCCCATTCTGTGGGATTCAAAATGAAAACCTTACCCACTCTACTCTCACCCTAAGTACATGCTTGGCCACCTTTCAGTCCTCTGGTCTGGAATATCCCATAGACCAGGCCTGGATCCCCAAAGTCCTCAGATTCTCCCTGTATGGTGGGTATGTGACCTTCACCTGTATGCTCTGGTGATGGAGTAGATACCCCTTATCTGACTCAGTTCCTACAGGGACAGGTGTCATGTCAGTAGGGTGTAGGTTCATGGTGGCCCCATCCTGGCTGGGGAACTTCTGCCCTGCAGAAGGGCCTAACATGTGGTCCACAGCCTTGGCTGGTTCTCTCTGAACAGGATAACCAGACGGACAGCGGGATGGTGCTGGCCTCAGAGGAGTTTGAGCGGATAGAAAGCAGACATAGACAAGAAGGCAGCTTCAGGTAAGGGCTCCCGGAGCCCCTTCTCCTGCAAAGTTGGGCATTGCCTTCCTGGGGAAGGCCTTGAGCAGTGAGTGGTCTAGTGAAGGAGGCAGGAGCTTGATTATGCCCTGTCAGTCTTATTTGAAATCTTTCATGGCTCCCTGTTACCTTTTGGTGTGTCCAAGGTGAACTGATTTGACTCAAGGCTTTTGATCACCCAATCCCCTCCCCATCTCCCATCTTTGAAGGAGCCCCCCTCTCCCATCACCATCCTGACCCAACAGCACCTGGGTGCTGGTCCCAGCACCTCCCTTGCATTGGACAGATGCTCACATGCTGCAAATCTGTGAAACTGTGCATAAATCTGTGAAACTGTGCACAATCCACCATGCCGCATCACGCATACACCCTTCCCCCAGCCAAGAGTAGGCCACCCCCAGCCCTGACCCCTCAGCACCTAGCCCTGTGGCCACAAGAGCAGATAATGTAACCTGAGTCCACTGGTGTCCTACTTTGCTAACAGAATACTCCCAAGATTGTCTGCACAAAGGGCAATCCAGATAGAAGGTGATTGCACTTGTTCAACAAAATAGTCAGCAAAAACAAGTTTGGCCCCTTGAATATTTAAATTTTTGAGAGTATTAATAAAAGAGTTAAATGTCCACTTAGAATATTCACTTTCTAAGTTGATGCACACATATTTAAATGACAAGCCCGACGATATTATATGAAACATTGGTCTTTCCTATTTTCCTCAGATCACTCCTTTGTACCTTTCACATTAGTGTCTGCAGGAGACCACTTTGGGTCGTTTTGAGGCAGGGTCTCACTGTGTAGCCCAGACTGTCCTCAAACTCAGGATGCTCCTGTCCCAGTGTCCACAGCGCTGGGATTTTAGGAGTGCACCATCACACCTGTGCTGCTTTGAACCAATGCATGATGCTGCCGCTAACTAGATTTATGGTTCCTACAACTTACCAACTACAGGTTGTCCAAACTCCATGGGACCAGAAATGTTTCAGATTTCAAAGGTTTTTAGATTTGGGATAATTAAGGATTAACACAGAGGTTTATGGTTATTTAGACTTTACCAGTTGAACAACCCTAATCTAAACATTCAAAATCCAAAACCTCAGATTTCAGAGAAGTCTGGATTCCCCAAGTACATGTATTTTAATTTAATTTTCATTTAGTTATTTAGCAAGATTGGATATTTTCTTGTGTTTGCTATTAAAATACTTAACTAAAGCAAATTTTTTGGTGGTGCTAGGGTTTGAGTTTGGCCTCGTGCTTGCTATGTAGGCACTCTACCACTTGAGCCACCCACACCCAGCCATTTTTTGCTTTAGTTATTTTTCATACATTCTGTTTTTCATGGTTTTTGCCCTGGTTAGCCTGAACTAGGGTCCTCCTACTTATGTCTTCTGTGTAGCTGGGATTACAGACATGTACCCCCACAGCCAGCTTTTTTGCTGAGATGAGGTCTCACTAACTTTTTGCCTGAGCTGACCTTAAACTGAGATCCTCCTGATCTCCACCTCCTGAGCATCTGGGATTATAGGTGTGAGCCACCATGCCCAGCTCTAAATTTTGAATTTTTATGTTAGGGATGCTCAACCTGTATTTGATTTTTTTTCTACCAACCTACAAAGAGCATGTTTGCTGCACTGCTAACACAGGCAGACTGGGGGGTCCTGCCCAAGATCTGTATCTGTAGTGTGCATCTTTGCCTCTTTTTCTCTTAAAATTGATCCATCATCAGGTGACTTCTATTAGTAACATGGTTTTGGAAAAACCATGGGGATTCTATTTTGTGTGCATAGGGTGATGGGGGGATAAGGAACTCAACACCAGCACAGCCAAGCCTGAGTCATCAGAGAGTCAGATGAAGGCCATTCCATGAAAAGAACATGTGGCAAAGTCCTGGGGACAGTAGCCACACATACGGGAGAGAATGGACGGACTGAGATCTGGTAGAGGAGAACAGAGCTTCTCATATAAGTCTAAAGCCCTAAGGACAGCCATCTTGGGAGGGTACTGCTTCCAGTGAACTGGAAGGAAATGCTGCTTAGTGATAAAGAAAGAAGAAAGTTCTGGAAGATAATGGTCCTACAGAAGCAAGACAATATACAGAATTCACAAGAAGACAACACACACACACACACACACAGTGTGTTCATTACAGAAACTGCACCTCGCTGCAGAGGCAACAGAGGGCACTGTTCTTTGAACAGATTTCCTCGGAAATGCATTATAATGAGCCAGGAAAGGTGCAGCAGATCACATGGCTTACGTTCTCCAAACAAATGCAAGAGTAGACAAGAAGCAAGACATCTTGGAGGTGTCTACGGGGAGAAGAAGGAAGGAGTTTACCTGCCTAGGCCCTTCCTGTCTCCAGTTAGCTCTTAGTCCCCACTCACCCCACAGGGAATCAAGTCTTCCTGCCTTCTAGGTTGCATTATCTTTGCAGTGACCATTCAAGATGTCGGATCCCATACCTGTGGTGTAGTGGTTTATCCAAGTCTGTAGATAAAAAGAGATCTAGAAAGTCTGGGCTTGTGGTTGGTTAGCATGGCCACGTAGCAGCACCCAGTGAGAGAGCCTAACACTCCCTGGAGAAGGGGCTGGTTGACCACTGATGGTGGTATGATACAGAACATGAATGGAGTCCTTGGTAGGAAGGATGCAGTCAAGGGAATTTGATGTGATACCAAAGATGTGTGTCTGATTCAGCACTTTTGAATGAAGAAAATTAGGAAGTCATCTCTCTCAGTTCAACTTACACTACTATAACAAAATACCTGAGTCTGGGTAACTTCTAATGAACAGAAATGTATATGGTTCTCAACGATGGGAATTGCAAGTGTATGGTGCCAGCATCTGATAAGGTCCTTCTTGTTGCATCATCCCACGGCAAAAGTGAGAGCAACTCACCCGACTGCCTTTATAACAAACCATCTCCTGAGCTGATAACGTTAATCCAGGTGACCCAGTCACCTCTCCACCCTGTCGTGTTGGGGATTGAGCTTCCAACACTTGAACTTTGGAGGATACATTTAAGCCACTGCAGCATCTAAATCCCCAGTCCCTCACACAGGATAACCTGCTATTTATGGTGTAGGAAATTCCAGCATGAATAATCATGAACAGAAAAAACAAGCACTGTCCATCCAAAGTTATTATAAACACTAAAACAGGAAATTAGAATTAAAACTTCACAGTAGGACATTCTTAAAAAAAGAGGAAACGTACACAACATTCCAACAGGAATTAAATATATAATGAAACAAACAGATGTATCATGAATCAGAAATTAAATAATTCAGAATAGAAATGAACAATGTGAAGACTTAAAATGACTAAATTCAGGAACAAAATGAAATTAAAAGATAAATTCTCTCAAACATTAAGACCTTAGGGAAAAGGTGTATGACCAGACTTACAGTGGAGAACACAGAAAATAAACATGAAAAAAACAAACAAAATAATATTGAAATAAAGATTTAAAAGGATCAGAAAGAAAGTAATAGATACAGAAGATGAGTAGAAGAGATTCAATATGTGTGAGATTAGAGTCTCTGAATAAGAAAATGTAAGCAGTGGAGGAAAATTAATATTTTAAAATGTATAATTCAAGATATATGCTCATAAAGAAAAGAACACCTGAATCTATATGTTAAAAAGATACCTGGGAAAATTGGTTCAGAATACTAAACTCTGGAGAAATATCCAGAACTATTTGACTTCAAAGATAAGCATAACCTGCTGAAATTATCATAAAAAAGGGACCCAAGATAGAAAGAAAAATGGAGGGGATGAACCAATGTGGAATATAATACATATATACATGAAAATGTCATAATGAAACTCCCTGTGTAGCTATCTTAAATAGAAATGTCTTTCTTTCGAAAACAAAAGACACGAAGGTAAAACAGACTCTGTCGGGGGAGTTGGTACCAGTGGCAGGGAGAAGATATAGGGAGAGGGTGAGTGTGATGGAAATATTACATTCATGTTTGAAATGGAAAGATGAGACCTGTTGAACTTATTCTAAGGGGGAAGGTGAGATAAAGGAGAATGATGGAGGGGGCGAATTTGGCTAAAATATACTGTAATACTCACAAGGTACCCCCCACTACAATAATAAAATTTTTTTTAATAAAATTTTCAGGTACCAAGCAAAACAAAAGATAATCAGACTGCAACTCAGTCTTTTAAAAAAAGACAGAAACAGACAGAGAGAGAGAGAGAAGATTGGTGTTAAGATTTCCTCAAAAGCATTATGCTAAGCAAAACAACGATAAATCAGCATTTTCTAGAAAAGTCAAACTGAGAGCTAAGGATGAAGCACGATGGACTAACGAAGAGGCAGGAAGGGTCTGCAACCTGCCCCTCTCTGCTAGACCATGCTGAGAAGCTGGAATTTCACTACAATAGTGATGGGAGGCCTTTGGGGGGGGTGTCAGGAGACTGTGATGTCATACCTAACTTAAGGGGTTTCTGTGGAGATGGGACTATAGGGAGACAAGAGTGGGAGCAGAGAGACCTGCCAGGCAGATATCTCTGAGCCTGCAATGATGGCAGGCTCCCTCTAAATGAGGGGCACGAGGGTGGAGAAATGTACCTGTATGCTTTCACAGTTAGAATAGACAGGACTTCTGGATGGAAGTCACCTCTTTCTTTGAGTTTTCTTCTGGATTTCAGGACTAAGGAAAAGCAAGGATCATAGCTGGGTGCTTGGATTAAGTGACTGAGTAAACATTGGTGTCATTTACTGAGCTGGGCAAGACAGGGACTGCTGATTAGGATGGCAATACACCCAAAACAGTAATGAGCAGGAAGGTCATGCCATACCTCAGATGCTTGGTGATGAAGGAAGAAGAAAATAGGGTCCAGAAAATAGGGCTCAATGGAAGCCAGATAGTATACAGAATTCAAAAGAAGACAGACAGACGCGCGCACACACGATCAGTTCATTAAAAGCACTGCACCTCTCCGTAAGCAGCAGCAGAGGGCGCTATTCTCTGCAGGGTTCTCTTGGAAACACGTGATGATGAGCTAGTAGAGGACACCTGCACTAAGCAGGTGCCTTCACTTGGTGTAGAAAAGCAAGTATAGTGGGATGAAATCAGACATTCCCATGGTCCTGTGTTCAGGCGCCAGTGAGTGTTACCAAATCAGATCTGGTTTGCTATTTCAGTCAAGGCTGTGTATTTCCCAAAGTGTCTGGGCCTGCTTCATGTGGGTTGTGTCACTGTGAGTCAATCAGCTGTGCCTCAGGTCCATTTCCTCTGTCTTTGCTTACCGACACCATCCTCCCTGTCTTGGCAGCTCTAAAGGACCTGGTCAGACTGTGGATGTTACCAGAACACACCCTGACCCACAGGGGAGGCGGCGGCAACCCAACTGGGGGACACAAGGAGGCCAGGTGTTTTACAACACTGAGTACGGGGAGCTTTCACGGCCATCCGAGGAGGGTGACTGCTCCCCATCAGCCGGCCCACCCTTCTTCACAGACGACAGCTACTAAGGCAAACCCAGGCAAGGCCACCTATCCCTAGGGCTCTGACATCTGGGATAGGGGACTACTCTTGCAGGGTGAGCAAAGAGATGGAGGCCCCTGTTGGGAATTCATCTCCTCTGGTTCCAACCTGGAGATGTTCCTCTTCCCTCTCTACAACCTTCTTAGCTGGAAATAGCCAGCCTCCAGGCTCAAAAGCTCCCCTGAACTCTGTCACCATTACTGTCCCAGACTACCCTTCTCCCCTCACAGTGTGAGAGTCATAGAGTCACATGGTAATGGAGGTAGAGCTAGACTTGAGCCACCACCTCCCAGCACCTGGCCACACCAGTGCCATTCACAAATGCTCTTCCTTCCCATGGTGACGGACTTTCTTCTCCTGCCTCTCAAAGGCTGAAAAGAGAGTGCCAGGTTTACATCTCAAAGCAACAAACAAAACAAAATCGGGGAGAGTGGGGGAGGTCCTCTCCTGAGTGCAATCTCACGGGAGTGCCTACCCCAGGGACAAGCACTTGTGGACATTGAGCTAAATGAAATCTAAGATGGCTTACTAGCCCATGGAACGGGTATCTATCCACAATGAGCCAGTTACAAAGAGGGGAGCAGAATGCCCAGCCCTGAGGGTTGAGAAGAACCATTTAAAAGGTTTTTTCGTTTTTTTTGTTTGTTTGTTTGTTTGTTTTTATCAGAATGTCAGAGACTATTTCATCTGCTGTGAGGAATTTGCTTTCAAAACTCAGTCAGAAGAGGGCCCAAGGACAGCTTTACTACATCTATAAGGCTTTCCTTAACTAAGTCAGAGTCTTAGCAGATACCATAGTCATATCTCTCTCCCTCCCTCCCCCGCTCCCTCTCTCTCTCTCTCTCTCTCTCTCTCTCTCTCTCTCTCTCTCTCTCTCTCTCTCTCGTCCCCAGACTCCACCGCTCCACCGACTGGCCCAGAATCTGACTAACGAGCTGATGTTCTAAAGCTGCCCCTTTCGTTCTTCTCCCTGGGTCTGGGATCTGACTGTTTCTCATGAGAGACAAACACTGGGTTCCACTGAGGAAGGCTCTGGGGCTGGCAAACAGAACCCCATTGCCAGGTGTCACTCAACCATCAGTGGTCGTTCCTGTGACCTTCAGAGGACCTTGCCTGTGTCTTCCCTTTCCCTGTGCCTCACAGTGGCACCTGGACAGGACAAGCCTTTGCATTCACAGGATTGCAGCTGAGAGGCCCCCTGGAGGCTGGAGCCATTCTGCCCAGAACTTCGGGTTTCAGCTCACACAGCCCACCCACTCTCAACAGGAAAAAGACCCTCATGTCAGTTAGTGCAAGGAGATCAGCCCCGATCCCCAGCCCCATCTCAATAAGACGCTTGCAGGACAGGCGACCATGCAGCAAGCAGGGGCTTGCTTATCAGACCCTCCCCATTGAGTATATCATTACTCTATGACACCTTGAATGCTTGTATGACTGTAGTCCTCCTTGTCCTCCATTGACCTTCATCGTTCCTCTGCATGTCACCTGCCTGTGGGATTTGGGTCTCAGGCGTTCCTAGTGGAAGTCTGGAGGATGTTCTCTCTCAGAGACCAAAGCATGCAATGTGAATGCAGAGCCCCCTGACCCCTAGCCCCTTCCATCGTGTGTACCGCCAATTTGTGCCACCTCTCCTCCTGTCATGTAACTGCACACACAGAAATGTACTGGGGAAGCAACCTACTATGACCTTGTAGACAATGTTCTCTGAAAAGTTCTGAAATATTTAACAAAAGATAATAATAAATTTGATGCCAGTCTTTGAGTTACAATGAGTGGATTGTAAGTTGTAAGTGAAGTCCTAGCTGTAACATTTTGATCTTAACCTTCCTCCCAGACTGAAGAGGCCACTGGACAAGGTAATCAAAGAAACAGAGCAAGGAATCCAGGTTTCTCTTCAGTGAGTTCCTTGTGCCCCAAGTCAGCATCCAATCCCCAAAGTTGCCAGCAGAGGCGAAGAGGAGTCAGCCAGGACTCTTCACCCGCCCCCCCCGCCCCTCCCCCAATCGGTCTGGCTTCCCCAGCTTGCTACAAATATGTTCTCCTTAATACCTACTTTATCTATAAAGTAACAGGCACTTTGTCTCCGCCTACTAAAGCCTCATGCAGCTGACTAAAGCCTCATGAGCACCAGTGATCCAAGACCCGGGGAACTCAGCCCAGGGCAGATTCCCTATGTCTCATCCCCAGATCCCCTTCCAGGCAGGGTGTGGATGTGCAGTGCCTATGATCACCTGCAATCACACCCAAGGAATAGGTACAGACAGATAAAATGCACTCCTAAGACCACCTCACTGGTTTTATGCTGGCGTGGACTTTGAGGTCAGGGAATTCTGAGCTGGGACCTCAGCCTCCGCACATGCTCGGGTGGATGAGTTCCAGGCAGGAAAAGTGCAGAGCTCTCATGCTTCTGCTTGGCCCCTCAAGGCCCTGACTGCAGTATTTTTAAGGCTTTGTGACACCTGTGGGTATCTGTCACTATAGTTGTGGTATGCCTGTCTATCTGGACAGTTTCAGCCGACTCCAGGACCGGCTGGCCCAGCAAACGTCCTATGGGCTCCGGAGAGAAAGCCAGGAATAACCACTAGATGGCAGCATCCCTGTTAGCTGAACCAGGCTTTAGCTGGACCCAGGGACCTAAGAAAGGGCCAGGCAGGGCTGTGAGCACAGTCCCATGGAGCCCCTCACCCAGAAGAGCAGAAAATAACCCAGCAAAGGGCAGGAGCCAAAGGTACTGCCGTGGGGTGCAGACTGCAGCCTCTGGGCTGGCCCAGCCCCTCTGGAGCCTGCTTGTGTCACAGCAATGTTTCTTACTGTCCCAGCCTTGTTTTCAATGTTCCGGTGGAAAGAGCCCCTTCTCACAAAAGCAACTGTGAGAGGCGGGGTTGTTTGTTTTGTTGTTTTTTTCTTTCTATAATAAATCTAACGCTGAATACAGAAAAGAGCCTACCCTGAACACATATGACTGGACGTTTTGATTTTGCACTATAATAGATTGCATTTGACCACTGATTCTGAATGTAGGCTTCAACCCAGGTGCCAGCCAGTAGGATATTACCACACACCCAGGTCTGCACTGGTCACCAAGCACAAAGTGCACCCCCATGGGATGGAACTGGCACCCTCCTCTGTGCATGGATCCAGATGCAGCTGCTGCCAAGCTTCTGGGCTCCTCTGGTCCTGCTGGACCTGGAGCCTCAGGGCTGGACGCCGGTGTCCCCCAGGTCCTAGCCTCACTCTCACTCCCTGGAGCACCATAGATTCCGGGTTCTGTGGACGGGAACTTAGCCAAGACAGGGCTGTGGCAGAGTCACATGAAGTTCCTACCTCAAGGGTCCCTTGGTTCCTCTGGTCTCAGAAAACCTTCTCATCTACTCCTTTAAGGCTCCAGCACATCACCAGGTGCCCACTGCCCCTCATCTTTCCTCCTAGTCACACCCTTATTCATTTTTGCCAGTCCCTTAGTCACCTCCTTTGGAGAGGCATGGGGCAGAGGGCACATTTGAGTATCCCTGGTTGCCATTGGTCCCATCCTGTTGTCACTACTGCCCCTGGGCATCCTGCACTGCTTAGGCTGGGGGTCTGTAGCCAGGTGACAGAGTTCCCCTGGTATCTGCTCTGAGCCACACACACCTAGGCCCTGGAACACAGAGCTCACAGTCCAGCGCCCCTGCTGGGAGGAGTGGCAGGTGAGTGAAGGGAAAGCAGGAAGTTTGGTGACAAAGGTCCTGACCAGAAGGAGACACAGCAGGGGCTAGGAGCCCAAAGTTAGGAGTGTTTCTTATTTTAAGGCAGGAAGGGAGTTCTGAGAAAAAGGCGATGTGTTCTACTGCCATTAAGTTCTGGAAAGAAAGGATTTTTTTTGTGGTTCTTTTTTGAGACTGGGTCTTCCTGTGTAGCATAGGCTGGCCTTGAACTCACCATCCTCCTGCTTCAGCCACCCTGGTGCTGGGATTTCACCTGTGTGCCACCACATCCAGCAAAAGTCAGGATCCTAAAAGAGGCCAGACTGGAGGCCTGGGGAAGCCTCTGGGCTGCAGGAGGATGGGCTCTGAGGGTGGTGGTCAGAGCCCTTAGGAAGAACAACAGGAAGTGGAGCTCTGTTCCTAGCTGGGTCTTCGCTGCCTGTACAAGGGCAGAATTCTACAGACAAGCAGGTTGGGAATGAAGAAAATATGTTTCCTTAGTGATCTTCTACAAGTGGGTTCTAGGACCTGCTCACAGCACCTGAGACTCTGGTCTCTCTCAGCTAAATAAGAGAATTGAGTAGAAGTGCCAGGGGAAAGCTGGGAGGACAAGACAAAGGCAGAATGGAAACAGATGCTCTGACTCCAGCCAGGGCTTCTTCATGGCCTTTTCAGGCCTCAGAACACACCAAGGTCCAGATGAGAGAGGAAAGAGTCTAAAAGAGAGGGAAGAAAGCACATCATAAGGACGAGGATTGTCAAGGTGGGTAGTGTTATATCCTACAAAGTCAAAGGGACACTCCCCACAACAGGCTGAGAGACAGGACTCACAGCCATCAGCAGCCCTTGATGCTCGTGCACTTGGGAGAAGGGAAGCCAGGAAGCAGTTTATGGCACAAACACTGACTCCATCCCCCTCGCACTGGTGCCCGCCTCCCAGCCCACTCTCCAGCAGCCCCAAGTCACTCTAGAAGCTGGATGCTCATCCCAGATAATTAGGCACAGCATGTCTGAGATGGTGACCTGTGTCCACATCACTGGCACCACTGGATCTCTACATGCAGACTCAAGGAGGGAACCATAGCATCACAGAAGCAGGAGCCTACCTTCAGGACCACTGGGTCCCCTTATTCAGGGCCAGGCTGGATTCTGCTTGGGGCTGACAGTTGATGGGTGATCAGATGTATCACCCTGAGGCCAGGTGGCCCTGTTTCTGGCACTGCCCCTTGGAACCTCAGTTTCCCATCCATGACCTGCCTCCTTGCAGAGCTTTGGTGATAATAGCAAAAATGAATTTTGGGGTGCTAGAAGTGACCACACCATGGAGAAAACCCTACAACCACCAAGTCATAGCCACAGTGGCATCTGACTCTCCCACCACTGAATCACCTGCCCACCAATGTCCCAACTAACAGATGCCCCAATGCATCCCCCAATTAACACCTGCAGTGAGCTAAATGTTTGTGCACTCAAAATTCATATGGAGAACACTTCATCACAAAGATATGACATTAGGAAGTGGGGTCTTTGGGGTGTGAGTAGACCATAAGGGTGGAGCCCTGAGGTTGTTATGCCTTTATAAAAAAAAAAAAAGCTAGGTGTCCCTTCACCCTTTTCCCACTACATGAGAACACAAGGAGAAGTCAGCTGTCAGCAAATCAGGAAGTGAACCCTCACCAGACATCAATTTGGGACTCCTTAGTTAAACTTACTGTCTCTGGTTTTTCAGGAAGGTGAATGGACAGCACAGTGTCCATTTGGCAAATGTTTCCTCTAGAGAAAGAGATTCAGGGTGTGGCCACAGGACCTACAATATCCATAAAACACAGGTGATATCGACCTAACCAGGAGCACCATTCCTTCCAGAAAACCCCTTGGAAGGTGGTAAATCATCCCAAGTTG